CACTGCTATTGAGTTGGATCCGACTCTTAGCGATCCCACCTTGGGTTTCCAAGGCGGTATCACTACAGTAGTAGATTGCCCAGCCTTCCTTCTGAGGAGTGGCTGGTGGTACTACGCTTAAGCACTGTGCTACCAGAGCTTAATGTCCCCTGTGATCATGGTCACGAGCCTGCAGGCCCAGGACCTCACTCCCTCAAGGTGCGTTGTTGTGGCTAAGAAGTTATCCTAACTTTGTCTTCTGTCAGCTCTATAATATGTATGGATGTTTATATAGCATGTACAAATACATATGTAGGAATATGGCCTGCCAAACCTATGTATGGTCATGGGTATATTCCTGTTTGCCTACCCATACCTGATCATCTTGCCTGTCTATCTATGTAGACACCTGTAGATTATTGTTTATTGTTACCAATAGTGCAGTATTGTGTATGTAATTGTATTTACCTTTATTGTCTATACCTCTTGTACACCTCTCTGTGTCTTCCTTTTCCTTAGTGATATTGTGTTGGTGACTTGCGTTTGTTTTATTGTTTTTCCCTTCATCCAAATCAACAAATTTCTCTTAACAATCAGTAATTTTCCTTCACCTCTACTCCCATCCCTGGTAACCAACAAAGAAAATTTCCTTCCCTGTGTAAACCTTTCCCTGACTTTTTTAATAATGGACTCATACAATATTTGTCTTTCTATGATTGACTTATTTCACTCAGCATAATGTCCTCCAAATTCATCCATATTATGAGGTGATTTGAGAATTCTTCATTATTCTTTAATGTTGCATAGTATTCCACCGTGTGTATGTACCATAGTTTAGTTATCCATTCGTCTGTTGATGGGCTCTTAGGTTGTTTCCATCTCTTTGCTATTGTGAATAGTGTTGTGATGAACATGAGTGTGTATATATTTATTTGTGTTCCAGATCTTACCTCTTTATTCCTAGTATTGAGATTGTTGGATAGAATGATATTTCTATTTCCAGGTTTTCTTTTCTTTCGTTTTTTTTTTTTTT